ACGGGGGAGGAGGTTGTCATCAAAGTTATCGGTCAAAGCAATCCTTTCACCACGTATGTCTGATTCACCGCAGAAACGTTTTGCGAATAATGACGGCACAAAAGTGTCGACGCCTCATAATCACAACCTCCGCGCGAGTCCGAGGCCCGTTCAAATTTATCGAGAAGTACTGAAAGTGAATCACGAGAGGTTCTCAACCGTTTGCTCGGGTGTCGTGCTACCGGTCCTGCCCCGCGCGCACGTGCATGGCCTGGGAGGGGCCGCCGGGGTTCACACATACGCACCACCCCCGTGGCCCCCGCGTGCCGCTGTAGAAACAGGTGGCTGGGCCGGGCCGGGCCACGCCGGGCGCAGGGCAGGGCCACACAAGAGCTCGTTACAAGCCTACTGTCCTGCTACACATCCTACTTCCCGCAAACGGTTGGTCCCTTCCCCCCTATCCTCCCCCACCTCCCTGTACATATTCCTACATGGATATTATACCCCTTGTTGCCCCCTCCCCCCCTCCCGCCCTTTTCCCGAAGTGACGTAACTTGTGCACGGGGCGTCCGCGAGGGCACTAATGGGAATGGGGCTCCATGGGGACGCATTAATGCCTTCAAGCGGCTCCCGTTGACGCGACGCGTCGCGACGCCACGCCGTGCCACGCCACGGCCTCCCGTTGGAGGCGCGCACAACCCAGCGCGTCGAAGTACAGGGTGGAGTGGATGTTCGAAGCCGTATACTTTTTCCAGTAACACTTTACAGCATGCATGCGTGCGGGCTTTAGTTTAGTTTAGTTTAGTTTAGTTTAGTTTAGTTTAGTTTAGTTTAGTTTAGTTTAGTTAAGTTTAGTTTAGTTTAGTTTAGTTTAGTTTAGTTTAGTTTAGTTTAGTTTAGTTGAGTTGAGTTGAGTTGAGTTGAGTTGAGTTTAGTTTAGTTTAGTTTAGTTTAGTTTAGTTTAGTTTAGTTTAGTTTAGTTTAGTTATTTGTGTCTACGAGTCTTGCTACTGTGCCTTGTGG